TTGATGTGGAGAGTGTCTGGTTTGCCTACTCTGGAATATGCAACATATCATAGTCCTTCTTTAAGGGTCTCTTTCAAATCTATGATACTATATCTGTGTGTGTGTGTGTGAGAATCATATCTATCTATCTATATCTATGGCTGGATGGCTCTTTGTCAGGAGGGCTCTGATTACATTTTCTTGCCCTGGTGAAGAGAGTTGGACTGGATGGCCTTAAGTATTTTCTGTTGGTCATGGGGGTTCTGTGTGGGAAGTTTGCCCCATTTCTGTCGTTTGTGGGTTTCAGAATGCTCTTTAATTGTAGTGAACTATAAATCCCAGTAACTACAAATCCCAAATGTCAAGGTCTATTTCCTCCAAACTCCATCTGTGTTCATATTTAGGCATATGGAATTTTTGTATCAAGTTTGGTCCAGATCCATCATTGTTTGAGTCCACAGTGACCTCTGGATGTAGGTGAACTACAACTCCCAAACTCAAGGTCAATGCCCACCAAACCCTTCCAGTGTGTTCTGTTGGTCATGGAAGTCCTGTATGCCATGTTTGGTTCAATTCCATCATTGGTGGAGTTCAGAATTCTCTTTGATTGTAGTGAACTATAAACCCCAGCAACTACAACTCCCAAATATCAATGTCTATTTCCATTAAACTCCATCTGTGTTCATATTTGGGCATATGGAATATTCGTGCCAAGTTTGGTCCAGATCCATCATTGTTTTGAGTCCACAGTGCTCTCTGGATGTAGGTGAACTACAACTCCAAAACCAAGACTGCCCACCAAACCCTTCCAGTATTTTCTGTTGGTCATGGGAGAACTGTGTGCCAAGTTTGGTTCAATTCCATCATTGGTGGAGTTCAGAATGCTCTTTGATTGTAGGTGAACTATAAATCCCAGCAACTACAACTCCCAAATGACAAAATCAATTTTTTTGAGTGGAGGACATACATTGGTTGTTAGGTGTCTTGTGTCCAAATTTGGTGTCAATTCCCCCAGTGGTTTTTGAGTTCTGATGGTATCACAAACGAACATTACATTTTTATTTATATAGATTATTTGCATTATTTCTATCCCGCTCATATCAGCCCGGAGGCGACTCAGAGCGGCGTACACAATCGGCACAACTGATTCCATAAAAATGCATACATTGATAAGCAAAAGAACCATTATAGTGCAATTAGACATAAGACAATGCATAATAACAATATTAGGAAAGATAAGTAAAGGTAGGTCAAGGTTTTTTCCTGACATTAAGTCCAGTTGTGTCTGACTCTAGGGGTTGGTGCTCATCTCAATTTCTAAGCCGAAGAGTCGGCGTTGTCCGTAGACACCTCCAAGGTCATGTGGCCACTGGCATGACTGCAAGGAGCGCCACTGCCGTCCCACCGGAGTGATACCTATTGATCCACTCACATTTGCATGTTTTCAAGCTGCTAGGTTGGCAGAAGCTGGGGCTGACAGCGGAAGCTCATGCCGCTCCCCGGATTCGAACTTGTGACCTTTCGGTCAACAAGGCTTAAAAGCCTCATAGAATCATAGAATCAAAGAGTTGGAAGAGACCTCATGGGCCATCCAGTCCAACCCCCTGCCAAGAAGCAGAATATTGCATTCAAATCACCCCTGACAGATGGCCATCCAGCCTCTGTTTAAAAGCTTCCAAAGAAGGAGCCTCCACCACACTCCGGGGCAGAGAGTTCCACTGCTGAACAGCTCTCACAGTCAGGAAGTTCTTCCTCATGTTCAGATGCAATCTCCTCTCCAAAGAATCTCGCCTCCAAAGAAGGAGTCTCCGCCACACTCTGGGCAGAGAGTTCCACTGCTGAACAGCTCTCACAAGCTCAGCAGCTCAGCGCTTTAACCCGCTGCGCTACCGGGGGCTCACAATGGAATAGTACAATATCTATATAAATAAAAATGTAATGTTCGTTTGTGGGATTAACAGAACTCAAAAACCACTGGACGAATTGACACTAGATTTGGACACAATACACCTAACAACCCAATGTAACTGATTTTGTCATTTGGGAGCTGTAGTTGCTGGGATTTATAGTTCACCTACAATCAAAGAGCACTCTGAACCCCACCAACGATGGAGTTGAACCAAACTTGGCACACAGTTCTCCCACAACCAACAGAAAATACTGGAAGGGTTTGGTGGGCAGTGTCCTTTGGTTTTGGAGTTGTAGTACACCTACATCCAGAGATCACTGTAGACTCAAACAATGATGGATCTGACCAAACTCAACACGAATACTCAACATGCCGAAATGTGAACACTGGTGGAGTTTGGGGAAAACAGAATCTTGACATTTGGGAGTTGTAGTTGCAGGGACTTATAGTTCACCTACAATCAAAGAGCATTCCGAACCCCACCAACGATGGAGTTGAACCAAACTTGGCACACAGTTCTCCCATGACCAACAGAAAATACTGGAAGGGTTTGGTGGGCAGTGTCCTTTGGTTTTGGAGTTGTAGTACACCTACATCCAGAGATCACTGAGGACTCAAGCAATGATGGATCTGGACCAAACTCAACACGAATACTCAACATGCCCAAATGTGAACACTGGTGGAGTTTGGGGAAAACAGAATCTTGAAATTTGGAAGTTGTAGTTGCTGGGATTTATAGTTCACCTACAATCAAAGAGCATTCTGAACCCCACCAACGATAGAATTGGGCCAAACCTTGCAACACAGAACCCCATGTGGGGCCACAGCAACGCATGGCAGGGGACGGCTAGTAGTAATATAAAGTACTAATATTGTGCTATGGTAATAATATCATATGTTGTGTTTACATATTACTTGTAAGCTGCTCTGAGTCCCCTTCGGGGTGAGGAGGGCGGCAAATAGATGTCGGAAATAAATGAATGAATGAATGAATGAATGAATGAAATGCGACCCACCTTAGCTTCTTCCTCTTGCGCTTTTTTCACAATGGCTTGCAACTGAACTTCCCGCTTGAATTCGGCATGGAGCAGCTTTTCCTCCATCATTCTCCGCCTCTGATCCAACAGTTCCTCCTTCCATTTCCGGACATCTTTTTCCTACACAGAATAATAAGACGGCAAAATAAATCGGCAACACATTTCACATTTCGCAATACCAATAGTTGCATTTGTGCAGCAGGATGTGACATGATTTTGATACATCTCCTGCAAATCTATACAACTTCCTCAGAAAGACTCCTGCTTCCACAAACAGCTTTAACCCACAGTGCTGAGGAGCCCCCAAAAGCCCTCCATCCAATGACATTTCAGGTTATAGCAAGTGCCATATATATGTATGTGTATGTGAGTGTGTGTGTATATATGCAGCCCAAACCCTACCAATGTCCTCCCCAAACACCATACTGCCCACCACCCAAGGAATGCGTTCTTTAGGGGGAAATTTCACCCTAGATTTTACCATAGAGACATCCCAGTGTTCCTTTCTCTCTCCATTGGTGTGGAATTTGCATGATCCCACCCACTGCCTCTCCCTTAATCCTTTCCTACTCTTTTCAACTCTGTCTGCATAACAAACAGAGCAGAACTGCACAGCAACCCAACATACTGGAGGAGTTTGGGGGACTGACTCCACATGATGGAAGTTGTAGTTCACCCTGCATCAAGTCAGAGCACTGTGACCCCCATTGACAATGGACGTGGGCCACATTTGGCACACAGAATCCCCATGACCCAAAACATACTGGAGAAGTTTAGGGAGAGGGGAATTCACCTTGATTTATCGACATTCTAAGTACTGGGATTTATAGTTCACCTGCAATTAAAGAGCACTACGAACCCCACTGATGATGGACCAGGACCTAACTTGGCACACAGACTAACAAAAAATGCAACCCACCTTAGCTTCTTCCTCTTGCGCTTTTTTCACAATGGCTTGCAACTGAAATTCCCGCTTGGGGATTTGGGGGGAATTCACCTTGATTTCTAGGAATTATAGTTCACCTACATCCAGAGATCACTATGAACGCAAACAACGGTGGATCTGCCCCAAATTTGGTATACATACCCAATATGTCCAAATTTTAATACTGGTGGATTTTGGGGGGAATTGGCCTTGACACTTGTCAGTTGTAGGTACTGGGAATTACAGTTCACCTGCAATTAAAGAGCACTCCAAACCCCACCGATGATGGACTTGGACCTAACTTGGCAGACAGAATCCCCATGGCTCCCAAAAAAACTGGAGAGGTTTTGGGGGGGGGGGATTCACCTTAATTTATAGCCGTTGTAGGTACTGGGATTTATAGTTCACCTGCAATCAAAGAGCGTTCTGAACCCCACCAACGATGGCTCTGGACCTAACTTGGCACACAGACTAACAAAAAATACAGGAGGGATTTGGGGGGAATTCACCTTGATTTATAGGAATTATAGTTCACCTACAACCAGAGAGCACTATGAACGCAAACAATGATGGATCTGCACCAAATTTGGCATGGATATCCAATATGTCAAAATTTGAATACTGGTGGATTTTGGGGGGAATTGGCCCTGACATTTGTCAGTTGTAGGTACTGGGAATTATAGTTCACCTACATCCAGAGAGCACTATGAACGCAAACAATTATGGATCTGCACCAAATTTGGCATGCATATCCAATATGTCAAAATTTGAATACTGGTGGGTTTTGGGGGGAATTGGCCTTGACATTTGTCAGTTGTAGGTACTGGGAATTATAGTTCACCTATATCCAGAGAGCACTATGAACACAAAGAATGATGGATCTGCACCAAATTTGGCATGCATATCCAATATGTCAAAATTTGAATACTGGTGCGTTTTGGGGGGAATTGGCTTTGACATTTGTCAGTTGTAGATACTGGGAATTATAGTTCAGCTGCAATTAAAGAGCACTCTGAACCCCACCGATGATGGACTTGGACCTAACTTGGCACACTGAACCCCCATGACCAATTGAACGCACTGGAGGGATTTGACAGGATTGAACCACCATAGTGGGAGTTGTAGTTCACCCTGCAGCTGGAGAGCATACTGAACCCCATTGACGAAACATGAAAAACTTTTGATAGAGTTTCATGGAGTTAATCTGGCATGATGTGAGTTGTAGTTCACCCACAACTTAAAAAATGACTTCTTCTAATAATGCCAGGTACTCAAGCTAGTAATCTAATGAATGTGACCATTTGAGTGTCATTAAGGAAGGCTACATGGAGTAATGTTGGCGCCATGTTGGTCCAACTCTAAATTAAGTTGCGAAGCCTTTCAATCAACGTCGGTGTCCAAGGCACCTGCCACACAGAAAGCGGGCGTTGGGGAAAGACGCCATAAATCTCAACGTATTTCACGAATTGGCAATCGTTCCAAGTTTAATGCGTGTCAACATTTTTAAAGGTCTAACCTAATGGGATGCACAACACGACAAGAGCGCTCTCACTTCACTTAAGAGATCTGACTGAACCCTGAAACCTTTGTAATATTTACCTCTTTGCTCACAGAAGGATATGTGCGCGATAGATAAAGATCAGCAAAGGGTACACTGGAAGAATGTCAGGACTCAAAGACTGGGGTAATTTACAGCCTGAGTTTCCTTGGGCAAAACAAAATAGCGGTTTAGCACAACGCACTAATAAAAATCTGGGGGGGAGAAAAATTACCCGTTCCATTAACTTCTGAAGCTTCAGAGTTTTCTCCTCGCGCAATTTCTCTCTCAGCTGTTGAGCTTTCATCTGTTTCTCTTCGTGTTTCTTTTTAGATTCTGCAATGGTCCTTTGGAAATATTGGAGGAGCCCAGTAAGACTGTCGTCATTTTGAGAAGGACAGATGCAATAGTAATAGTAATAATAACAATAATAATAGTAATAATAATACAATAATGTAAACAAATAATAATAATAATAATAATAATAATAATAATAATTTTTTTGGTTGTGTCAGGAGCGACTTCAGAAACTGCAAGTCGCTTCTGGTGTGAGAGAATTGGCTGTCTGCAAGGATGTTGCCCAGGGGACGCCCGGATGATTTGATGTTTTTATCACCCTTGTTGGAGGCTTCTCTCATGTCCTCATATGAGGAGCTGGAGCTGATAGAGGGAGCTCATCTGCCTCTCCCCGGATTTCAACCTGCGACCTGTTGGTCTTCAGTCCTGCTGGCACAGGGCTTGAACCCACTGTGCCACTGGGGGCTCCAATAATAATAATAATAATAATAATAATAATAATAATAATAATAACAACAACAACAACAACAACAAGACCTTTTGCGAGAAGGCGAGGAGAGCTTCTCATGCATGTGTATGCCATGGCCTGGGGGTCGGGAAGGTTCTTCTTCCACGATGTCACCCCAAGAGTTATTCTGACGCCACGATTCACGAGCTACACAGAAAAAAAGAGAGCAAAATTTGTGTCAAAAATTAAGAATTGCAATATTTATCAACACTGGGATATAAAAATTGTGCTGTCAGTGTAATTGTGGACAGCAAGGAAGTAACAGAGCTTCACCTAAGATACACAATCTCAGGTTGTTAAGTCTATGAAAGGATGTTTACCTTCATAATCAGCCAGGACATCATTCCAGTCCATGGAAATGCCGCAGAAGGAAAAACTCCCACTTCCCATGCTGGCCTGAAATTTGACCCAAAGAGAAAAGGGGAGCATAAACTTTTCACATAAACACAAGCAATTCAACCAAGTTAGAATCATAGGATCGGAAGACACCACATCGGCCATCTTGTCCAACCCCCTTCTGCCAAGCAGGAAAAGCACAATCAAAGAACACCTGAGAGATGGCCATCCAGCCTCTGTTTAAAAGCTTCCACCACACTCTGAGGCAGAGAGTTCCACTGCTGAACAGCTTGCATGGTCAGGAAATTCTTCCTAATGTTCAGGTGGAATCTCCTTTCCTGTCATGGAACCCATGGCTCCGAGTCCTAGTTTCCAGGGCAGAAGTAAACAAGCCTGCTGCCTCTTCCTTATGTCATCCTTTCACATATTTATCTATGGCTATCATGTTACATTTAATGCCTTATTTATTTATTTACAGCATTTATATCCTTCCCTTCTCACGGTGTATTATACAACGCAGTCTGCCTCCCACCTGGATCCACAGCTGTTTCAATACATTGCGATGTTCTGGTGCTAAATTTGTAAATACAGTAATTACTACATAACATTACTGTGTATTGAACTCCTTTTTCTCTCAATTTGTTGTAAAGCATGATGTTTTGGTGCTTAATTTGTAAAATCATAACGTAATTTGACGTTTAATCCCTCCTTATCCAACATTTTCGCTTATCCAACGTTCTACCACCCCGTTTACGTTGGATAAGCGAGGCTCTACTGTATCAAGAGTTATACAAATGCCAGCCATGAATTCTGAGCTGTCTTCCCATTGAACAACGAAAACACTATTGTGCCGTCCAACTGTCATCACAACCCCTCACAGAACAGGAGTTCTTGTAACGTAGTGCGGCACTTGAAAAGAAGGAAAACTCACAGAGAAGTCACTGTCGTTGTCGGTTTCGATGTTGATGTCGTTGTTCTCCTCAGCTTCGATCTCTCTGGTTAGTTGTTCCTCTTCAGCAATAGCGCTCGCAATGGCCTCCTCGTTGGCCTTTTCCAGCCGGTCGGCCAGCTCCTCCTTTTTAGCCAAGACTTCTGCCATGGACTAGAAAAGCACACCCATAGTTAGATGGGTTGTTGTAGGTTTTTCGGGCTATATGGCCATGTTCTAGAAGCATTCTTTCCTGGCGTTTCTCCTGCATCTATGGCAGGCATCCTCAGAGGTTGTGAGGTCACTTGCAAAAGATGCAAGTGAAATGTCAGGACAAAGTGCTTCTCAAACATGGCCATATAGCCCAAAAAACCTACAACAACCCAGTAATTCTGGCCATGAAAGCCTTCAACAATCCATGGTCAGATAAGTGGATTTTTCAAATCTTAAAATGTAAAATCTTAAAATAATAGGGTAAAATAATAAATGTAATAATGACAATAATAAAGTAAAATAATAAATGCAATAATAACAATAATAAACAGAGTAAAATATTTATTTATTTATTTATCTACTTCATTTATATACTGCTTTTCTCAGCCCTCAGGCAACTCAAAGCGGTTAACAACAGCAACATTCAATGCAAAAACATCACAAAACGAATATGGGACAGTTAAAAACAGTAGCATAATCAACAATTGAACATCAATATAACAATCATTAGCGTCTCATCAGTAAAATGAGAATCCAATCTCATCATCCATTATTCCGTATTCCTATATTCCTATATTCAATTACACTGCTTAATCGAATGCTTGTTCGATCATGAGGTCAGGAGTATTGTAATAATAATAGTAATAATAATAATAAAATAATAATAATAATAATAATAATAATAATAATAGAAGAAGAAGAAGAAGTTGTTCATGCAGACAGACTACAAGCAGAGGCACAACACCGTTGCTCAGATGATTCATTGGAACTTGTGCCACAAATACCATCTGCCTGTGACAAAGAACTGGTGGGATCACAAGCCGGAAAAGGTTACAGAGAATGAACACGCCAAACTCCTCTGGGACTTCCGAATTTAGACAGAGTTTTGGAGCTCATGATCAAGTTAAAAAACAAAGTATTGATCGTGGATGTTGCAATCCCAGGTGACAGCAGGGTTGAAGAGAAACAACTGGAAAAGCTGGCATGATATGAGGATTTAAAGATCGAACTGCAAAGACTCTGGCACAAGCCAGTCAAGGTGGTCCCAGTGGTGATCGGCACACTGGGTGCAGTGCCTAAAGACCTTGGCCTGCACTTAAACACAATCAGGCTGACAAAATTACCATCTGCCAGCTGCAAAAGGCCACCTTACTGGGATCTGCACGCATTATTCACCGATACATCACACACACTTGGGAAGTGTCCGATGTGTGATCCAATACAACAGCCAGCAGGGTGTCTGCTGTGGACTCATCTTGTTGTGTTTCAAATAATAATAATAATAATAATAATAATAATAATAATAATAATAATGTAAAATAATATAAATGTAATAATAATCATCAGCATCATCATCATCTATATAAATAAATATATAATGTTAATTTGTGGGATGAACATAACTCAAAAAATTGATACCAAATTTGGACACAAGACACCTATCAGGCCAACAAATGACCATCACTCAGAAAAAAACCTGAAAAATACAGCGGAAGAGACTTAAAAAGTCAAAACATAAAATTAAAAATACATTACATTACAACGTATGTGCATAACCACATAAATACACATATATACAAATATATACACACATTTACAGTTTTTAGAACAAACACAAATCTCCTAAAATGCTCACGTTTGAAATATCTGCTGGGTCCATTTCGCTTTCCATCTTCTTTTTTTCTCCTTGGCTCCCATTATCATTTTTGGAAGCAACGCAGATTGTTTCTTCCGCCTGCGGATCTTTTGGAAGATGCTCAGCATCTATGAGGACAACGGGAACTTCGGAAGGGGCCTGCAGAGAGCCGTCTCCCAAACCGTTCTTTTCTGAGACCTTTACGTCCTCCAGGACACGGGCCGTGAACTATTTACAAGACAGGAGTAAAGCAGAGAAAGGTGCTGAGCTCCCAAAACTTAGCCGTATCCATGTGTTTCTCCAAGAGCAAATTATTGCAGAGAGATTTTACATAAACAACAAGAACTTGGAGAGAATTTTGTAGAATTTGGCTCAAAAAATCATTATGAGCTTAAAAATTAATACATGATGCAGTATTATTTTTCTCTCTTTCTCTATACACACACACACAAACAACATTTAGGGAGAATTAGACAAATGTAAACAAAATATGATACAAAATTGAATAAGTAAAACATAATATATCTAACAAACTTAAACTGCAACGAAACTTTTTAAGTTCATGTCAGGGGCTGCTGTGACCTTTACTTTTCAATATGTTTTTATGGATTTTAACTTAATTGTTTTAATACTAATGATATTTAAATCTGTTTTAATCTATATAAATAAAAATGTAATGTTCGTTTGTGGGATTAACAGAACTCAAAAACCACTGGGCGAATTGACACCAAATTTGACACAGACACAGTAATAATAACAACAACAGAGTAAAATCATAAACAACCTTAAATCGAGTATAAGTTGAGGGATACTTTTTCAGTCTAAAAAAAGGGCTGAAAAACTCAGCTTATACTCGAGTATATACAGTAAAAGCTGTTTCCCCTCCTTTGGAAAAGGCTGCTTGCTTCCATCAGCTCTCTGAGAGATGAGGGAAGTTATATACGACGGACCAAGGAGATAATGTGCCTCACTTAACACAAACTTTTCTTAGAGAGCTTTCAACATCCTCCTGAAATATAAACTCTGTTAGGAAAATTAACACCTAATAAAACACGTCTGACCTCATGAATCAGATGGAAAACAGTGCTATTTCGCTGTTGCACTGTTCTTGAAAGGGAAGCTCATAAAAAGGCAGCTTTCGGTTCCTTAGTTCATTTATAGCAAGCACTAGCTGTACCCGCCATGCGTTGCTGCGGAACCTTCTCTCTTTCTTTCTCCTTCCTTCCTTCCCTTCCCTCTTTTTCTTTCCCTTCTTTCTTCCTTCTCTACCTGTTTCTTTCCTCCCTTCCTTTGCTCTTTGGTTCCATCCTTCCTTGTCTCCTTCCTTCCTTCCCTCCCTCTTTCTCTCTTTCTTTCCCTCTCTCTTTTCTTTCTCTTCCTTCTTCTCTCCTTCCTTCCTTCCCTTCCTTTCTCTTCTCTTTCTTCCTTTTCTCCTCCTTTCCTTCCTTCTTTTCTTTTTATTTCTTTTCTCCTTCCTTCCTTTCTCCTCCTTCCTCTTTCTCTCCTTCCTTTCTCTCTTTCCTTCTTCTTCACTTTATTTCCTTCTCTCCTTCCTTCTTCCTTCTCTTTTCTTCCTTCTCTCTTTCCTCTTTCTCCCCCTTCTTCCTTCCTTCTTTCTTTATTTCCTTCTCTCTTCCTTCCTTCTCTGCCTTCCTTTCTTTTCTTCCTTCTTCCTTCTCTCCTTCTTTCACTTTTTTATTCCTTCTCATTCCTTCCTTCTCTACCTTGCTTTCTTTCCCTCTTCTCTCCCCCTTCTCTCCTTCCTTCCTTCTTCCACTTTTTATTTCCTTCTCTCCTTCCTTCCTTCCTTCTCTACCTTCCTTTCTTTTCTTCCTTCCCTTTCTCTCTTTTGTTCCTTCTCTCTCCTTCCTTCTGTCCCTCCTTCTCTCCTTCCTTCCTTCTCCTTCCTTTCTTCTTTCTTTCCCTCTTTTCTCCTCCTTCTCCCCTTCTTTCCTTTCCTTCACTTTTTTTATTTCCTTCTCTCTTCCTTCCTTCCTTCTCTCCTTTCTTCCTTCTTTCTTTCCTTCTTCCCTCCTTCTCTCCTTCCTTTTTCTTTTTCCTTCTCTCTTTCCTTCCTTCTCTGCCTTCTTTCTTTTCTTCTTCTTTCTTCTCTCTTCTTTCTTTTTTATTTCCTTCTTCTCTTCTTTCTTTTTTTTTTTTTTTTTTTCTTTCTCTACCTTCTTTCTTTCCTCTTCTCTCCCCTTCTCTCCTTCCTTTCTTCCTTTTTATTTCCTTCTCTCTCCTTCCTCTTCTCTACCTTCCTTTCTTTTCTTCCTTCCCTCTTTCTCTCTTTTGTTCCTTCTCTCTTTCCTTCCTTCTTTCCCTCCTTCTCTCCTTCCTTCCTTCTCTATCTTCCTTTCTTTTCTTCCTTCCCTCTTTCTCTCCCTCCCTCCTTCCTTCCCTCTTTCTCTCTTTTGTTCCTTCTCTCCTTCCTTTCCTCTTTCACTTTTTTATTTCCTTCTCTCCTTCCTTCTCTACCTTCCTTTCGTTCTTTCCTTCCCTCTTTCTCTCCTTCCTTCCTTCCCCCTTTCTGTGTATATGTATTTTGTGTGTGTATATATGCATATATGTGTGTACATATTTGTGTATATATGTGTGTTTGTGTATATATGTGGTGTTGCGCATGTGTTGTTGTCGTGTGTGTGTGTGTGTGTGTGTATAATGGCTTTTTCAGTCTCATCTGTTGTGTTTTTCGGTGTTTTTATGAGTGATGGTCCCTCGTTGCCCTGGTAAGTGTCTTCTGTCCAAATTCAGTGTCAATTCGTTCAGTGGTTTTTGAGTTATGTTAATCCCACAAACGAACATTACATTTTTATTTATATAGATTTAGATCAGGTATGGGTGAACTTCGGCCCTCCTGGTGTTTTGGACTCCAACTCCCACAATTCCTAACAGCCGGTAGGCTGTTAGGAATTGTGGGAGTAGAAGTCCAAAACACCTGGAGGGCCAAAGTTTGCCCAGGCCTGATTTAGAAGGAGCAGCGCCTCATTAGAAGAAATGGGATCCGTAGAAGTATGTCTTACAGAAAGTAAAATATGTGGGGTGGAATCCCCAAAGGGATGCTCACCTGTGTTCTTTCGGCAAGCGGGTGCTCACACTGGTGAGAAGGATCTTTCCAGTTAGGCTCTGTAGTTTTTGAGACACCGTCTTCCATTAACAAGCCTTTCTGCCTATTCTCCGAGGGACAAAGGATGACATTTTCCTTGTCACTGTCGTCCTTGAACCGTGACGATTCTGCAGAGGAAGCTGTCTTTGTGGCCAAAGGAAACGACTTGGACCTCACAGGCCTCCCACGCTGCACTGTCTCCCACCCTTCGGCATCTCTTCGCTCTAGATTGCATCATGCAAAGGCAAAACATTTAGTGCAAACATCCTTACAGATAGCCAATTCTCTCACACCAGAAGCAACTTTCAGTTTCTCAAGTCACTCCTGATATGGAAAAAAAAGTGTTAGCTAATTAGCCTCCTAGTTTTTCCCATCGTTTATCAGAAGATTTATGGCCTTGCTGGATGTCCCCCGGGCAACATCCTTGCAGACAGCCAATTCTCTCACACCAGAAGCGACTTGAAGTTTCCATGTTAAGTCACTCCTGACATGGGAAAAAAAATTCTGACTAACTTTAAGGAAAAATAATCAGAGTTTTCTTAGTAAAATTCATTAGAAATTGGCCTTTCCCGAGTATTATTTACTAGGGTTTACAGATTTAGACTTACAATTAAATGAACAAGAAGATAAACTTTTCACATTTATTACAACTGCCGCCAGAATTATCTTTGCAAGAGAATGGAAGCAAGAATTAAATCCACCTATAGAAGAACAGACAAGCATCCCGAGCTCTGAGGATTACCTGGGAATGAATCCCACTGGAGCATTGCAGCGCACCCAAATACCTGGGAGTCACTCTGGACCGGGCTCTGACCTACAAGAAGCACTGCCTGAAAATCAAGCAAAAAGTGGGTGCTAGAAACAATATCATATGAAAGCTGACTGGCACAACCTGGGGATCACAACGACACAGTGAAGACATCTGCCCTTGCGCTATGCTACTCTGCTGCTGAGTATGCATGCCCAGTGTGGAACACATCTCACCACACTAAAACAGTGGATGTGGCTCTTAATGAGACATGCCGCATTATCACGGGGTGTCTGCGCCCTACACCACTGGAGAAATTACACTGCTTAGCCGGTATTGCACCACCTGACATCCGCCGGGAAGTAGCAGCCAGTAGTGAAAGGACCAAGGCAGAGACAT